AAACTGCACCTTTTGACGCTGCTGCAAGACGTCCTGTAAAACAAATAGGACTTATTTTGAACTGTGAATCATGCAAAGCTCCCGGAGTAAAAACAGAGTTGGAAATAAGCATTAATAGGTCCTCTTTAATATCAGTTTTGGGGTGCACCTTCTTTTTCATTTTAGATATTAGTTAGTGTACTGGTAACACTACATGTAAGCCAACACTTAGAAGCTTTTTATACTCATCGTGCATCTCAGAATGTGATGTAAGCAGCATGCCGATCAGAGCTGACCAATCCTCTTCCTGTAAATTCCTCTCGTTAACTACTGGGTCGTTTTAGATATTATAAGTCTATTGTTTTGGTTAGGGATTGGGGGTGGAGCCATTTAGTACTGTAGACGCTGCTTAAGTTGTGTTGAGGAAAATTGTTTATACCACAGGACTAGATAGAAGTTTCACTGTACAATCAAAGGGGAAAAGCATCATAATAGCCTGCAGTAGTTCAGTAGACTATTTTGTAAAGCACCTTTATCTTTACTATATTGCCGTCAAGTCAACCCTTTATACCATTAGGGTTTTGTAGTTAAAAACACAAGTACGTTTTTTTTTTGTTTTTTTTTTACAAATGTGTCTTAAATGGTCGTCATAGACAAAAACTGAAACTGGAGATGAGAAAGGAGGAGCGTGTCACCCTGGAGCAGGTCAGTCAGGAATATCACATTCAGCGCATTTATTTTTTTAACCATTTACAGTGAGAAACACGCCCGATTCACATGACTGTGCGCTGTTAGACAGCTGCACCGTTTGAATCATGTTAAATGCCTGTTAACAGTTAAACTTTCAGCTTTTCTTTGGGGGTTTGTGAAGGAAGAACAAAACACACATTTCAATACAAAAGTTCTGCAGTGAACACAGGGAGGAGAAGCTCTGAATATTTGGCTTATTGAGAGTGTAAGGCAGCCTCAGTTTGACTCATTGTAAGGCAGGTTTCCCGAACTTGCAACACATTGTTCCTCTTTCCTGAAGTTAACATGATTTAGAAGAAATTTCCTCTAGACACACACGTTATTTTTGTAGCACTTGCTGCAGAAGTTTGGCAGGTATTTGCTGAACAGCAAATAACAAGAACAGCTGCAAAAACACACTTTAATTGAGGATTTAAGGTAACAACACAGAATAAAGACACTAAACAGTATAAACTTTGACAGGGAGTTTATTTGAATGGTCAGCTGTTATAATTGTAATTTCATTCAAGTTCACGTCTCGATTTAACCCGTTCTTTACAGTATAAGTGCCTGCACGAGGCATTGAAGTCATAACAAACACATCTGTACGGTGTTAAATAAAGGGTGGATGTATCCCCCCCCTCCCCCCCATTTTATTTTTAATATATTACTTTAAGTCTTCCCAAAGTCAAAAACACAAACTTGAGAGTTCCTTTTAAATCAAACCTAATGAAAAACAAATATTTTGAGCTTCATCTAGCTTGGTATTTACTGCAGGATTTTAGTATTGTAAGGCATTTTTGTCCTTTTGTCCATCCTGTTTCATGTTTAGTTTGCTGGAATCATACTAATGCATAAACTAAGGGAAAGAGGGGGAACATATATCTATATGTTGTAGTAGTGTTAGAGGAGGACTTTAAGGTGGAAGTGTCCTTTAAATGAGCAGAGTATTGGGATGGACCACAAGGCACACTCTGGGGTTGGGCGGGAAACTAGTGAGATGTAAATATTGTTATTTATGCATATATGTTCTTGTTCACTCGGAAAAAAATAAACGTCTCCTTAAACTTGGTGTCGAGTGTGCGTTGTTCTGTAAAAATCACATTTGTGCAGAAAAAGTGATGCTACTCTTCAGTCTAGATGTTTCCGTTGGCCGGCGAGGCGAGCTCCTCTATCTTGGTGTTAAGTTTCTGATTGGTCCAGTCTTTTGTGATGTC